TACTTTTTTATAATTTGGAAAGAATTAATTTTTGAAAGTTTTGAAAATTTTAAGTTTTTAAAATTTTTGAAACAATATAAAAATTTTTTTAAAGTAAAACTTCTTTAGTCGCGACTAGGGTGTAAATCCGTACAAATGCAACGGAAGTGCGTTACGGCAGATAAGATAAGATAAGAGTCGAGTGCCAATGATTTGTCATTCGCTCTCGATGATATCATTTCTATACGGGTCGATTGTGATTAGTCGTCGTGAATAGAGATCTGTCGTTGTATGCGTACAAGCGTCAACGTTGTAGGCGTACCGATATCAACAAGGAAATCGATATAGATAAATAAACATTTTAAAGTTACATCGAAGTACTAATCTTGATTTAATGAAAAATGCCTGAATCAGAAGAATATTTTACCCTGTTCCTTGAAAATAATAAAACAAATTAAACATTTACACCGTGAACTAAAACGTAAGTTTATTGATTAGAAATTATGTCTATATTATTCGTAGTTTCTATAAATCTTTGAATTTATTAAAATGGAAAATATATTTTAGGAAAACAGATATTACAGCTATTCAAAGAATGAGATTATATCGCCAGCGAAAAAGTAAAAAAAAAATACGAGCAGTCAGTGAATGCATGTTAATTTTAATTACATGAAGTTCTTCAAACACAATTACATGATGAGTGAATTTGCGAAAACAATATTTATTTAGGCATTGCTTAACATAACCCACTATGTGAACGAATATTATAGAATTTATTAATCAGCAATTACTTCATTTCTCTAATGAACGTCCATTTCTAAATGATAATAACAATGACAAATTTGAAGTATTGCTTTAATTACATTATTATTTTCCAATATTATAAATATTTTTAATGCTATTATAAATATATAATTTATAATTTATCATTATATAAATGTTTTATGTAAATTTATTTTTACTTAACTTAAATTTGCTACTTTGTACAGTAGCAAATAAGTTTTACTTCAGCAAATCGCGTGTGAACCTTACGCGCATTTTAGAGACAAAATATTGAAGCGCATAACCGTTTTGCCGGTTAAACATTATAAATCTTGGTATGAAACCCATAGAAATGTGAACAACTTACTTATTAAAATCTGTATAAATTATCTTATAATTATAATATACATATGCCTATTATATGATATTATATGATATATATGATATGCATATATCTGATAATATACATATGCCTGATGATCATTTTTGACCGCGAAATAATTTTTTTTTTTAATTTTTTATGGGATTTTTCGGAACCACTGGACCAGCCTTTCCAAAAATGTAGTCAATTCTTTATTCCTTCAATACAAATAAAATGTCTTTTGAACAATTCAAACTGGACGCTCTGTTCTTTATGAATTGCCATTTATAGAAGTTTTTGCTCTGTATATTTGAAACGGCTGAATCTGCCTTTGCCATAAACTAATCAACACGGTTCCTTATTAATAGAAATCAAATGTTTTTTACTTCATTTAAATTCGGTGATTTGTACTCTCGAAATCGTGGACGAAAATTCGAAACCAAACATTCATACATACATACTGCATACTCACGCACATCCATTTTTTCTAAAGTTTGCTAAAATGTTCAGAAATCCTGAAAACGGTGAATGGTGACACTTGACTTTGTGGGGCCATCCGTGGCCGTTAAGTATACTGGTCGCTCGTAGAAGTGGTTAAGTATATAATATAAACTAGTGGGGCGCATGGCCTTAAGCAAATTGCTGGAACTTCCCGTACCAAAAATTATTATTTTTTTAAAAAGATTAGCATTGTTGAAAAAAATTTACTTCGAACATTCGATTCTTGAGAAACTATAAATTTGACAAAAAATTACTTTTTTTGAAATGTGTACTAAATTTTTGAAAATGTTTTATTTGTTTTGACATATTTTAGAAAATCTGAACTTTTTTTCAAAGCAATCGTACTGCTTTAACTGCATAGAGACGAAATGTCAAAGCGCGTAAGCGCCGCATTGCCGTCTAACGGATAAACATTGGTACGGAACCCATAGGAATGTAAACAAAATTTATACTTATTATTAAAATCTCTGTAAAATATCTGATAATTTGATGTGCATATGTCTAATGATCATTTTTGACCAACAAATGGCATTTTTTTACTTTTTTCCCGAAACCGTCGACGAAAATTTGTATCCGCACACACATACATACACGCACACACATCCATTTTTTCTAAGGTATGCCAAAATGTTCAGAAGATTTTAAAACGTAAAGATATATAACAAATTTAATTTTTGATTTTTTTTGCGATTACTATAACTTGCCCTACGGTAAGTTAAATATATAACAAAAAATATTATTTTATATTAAATTAAAAAGGGATAAACTGAACTATGCGATTACTTTGTATCTTATTAATAATAGTAATGTTTTTATAACAGTCTTCTTTGATATCAGTCAAAATTTTAACTTATCAATATACATATAAATAGAAATCTAAAATAAAATGCGATCTTTTTACATCTAATTATCAAGATGGAAAATAGCAATCGTATCTTTCGTGATTGATTGTTCAGCTGTATTAGATGCATCTTTGAGTAAAATATGCCATTCAGCATTCCAATATATAATATAAGCTTATAACCATAACAGCAGCATTTAAACTGTCACACAAGTCACAGCACATATCACATATCAAACAACCAACTATCAAAAATGATCATAAAATTTCCAAGTTATTGCCTAACATTTAAGAGGTTGAGCCTCTGCCTAAAATATAAATCTGTTTATTAACTTTTTGTAGCATAAATTATTGTAACCGCCCAAATATCGAAAATGAACATTTTTGCATATCTTCACATTTTAGAGGTTTGTGAGCATTTTGGTATAGTTCAGAAAAATAGATGTATTTATCTGTGTGTGCGTGTGTTTGTATCTTTTAATTTCTATTGACAAGAAGACGTGCTAGTTAGTTTTTGCAAAAGTCGGTCCAGCCGTTTCAGAGATATGGAGCAGAGTATAAAAAATTCCATTTTTTCATTCAATGAATTTTTGAAAGAAAAGAGCACCCGATTTGGTTTATTCAAAAAACATTTTGCTTTTGTTGACAATATGAAAAAACAATTAGTGTTTGGAAAAAGCAAAAAGAAAACTACGTAAAAAACGTCGACCTTCTTACCCGCGGACCCTTAAGCCTAGCTCTACCATAAATTCAATTAGTCTTATTTATATTTATATTTACTTTTTATTTGTACAGTATTTGTATATCTACATATATACAGTTAATTATCTTATATATACAGTGTATATATAATATAATCATTAAAATAACTAAAAAAAGATGTTTTCAAAAAATTAAGAAAATTGTTCGAAGAAATCAAAAACCCTTAATAAAAATTTATGCTCTTTCATTAACTTTGAAAAATCTCAATCAATATTAAAAAAAAACCTTACACTGACAGAAATCGAGATGATAAGTGATATATTTACTATAATAATTCTGACGAAATAGAGGTTTGTGATAAGAGGTTTAAAATTTAGTTTTGTGCTTTTTTATATCTTGTTCTTAAAAATCGAGGTGGCAGTACTTGGTTTCAATCAAAATGTGCAAAAACCGACCCGGGATTATACCTAACAATTTTCCAAATTTAACACTAAATACTAAAATAATTATTACTAAAAGTAATTACTAAAATAATTATTACGTAATATAGAGTTGTGGTAAGATGGTAAAAATTGAGGGCTATATGTATTTTTAAATAAAAAGTGACAGAAAAAGTAAAAAAAGTCTTCAGGCATCCAACCCTTACCACTTGGTTTTAATCAAAATGTTTGAACATCAGAGTATATGCCTAGAATTTTTCTAAATTTTCATGGCGATTGGATTCATGGTTTATAAAAATGATGTACTTACAATCAATTAATGAATAATTCCTACAAAATAGAGGTTTGTGGTAGGAGGTTGAAAATTTAGGGTTACATGTGTTTTAAAAAAACATAAAAAGTTATCAAAACCGTATCCACAAAATTTGTCATAACCGTACTCAACGCAGACTTTTAAAGAAAAACCATCTTGATGACCGAGCTTAATTATCTACGCGATTACTAATTGTTGGGTATTTAACTACTAACATTTAAAATAACAAACAAAGTAATCTATCTGTATACGAGTGGTGCATGGTATCGTGCTTTAAGGCAAATTGTTGGAACTTTCCGTACTGGAAAAATCAAATATTTAAAAAAACTTTAAAATTTTTTTTGAAAATTAAGAACTTTTTCAAAAAAATACAATTTTGAGAATTTTGAGAATTTTCAAAAAAAATACTGAAAAATCTGATTTTTTTTTAAGTAAAGTTTTAACTTTTTTAAAGCAATCGCGCTGCGTAGCTGTTTTAGAGATGAAATATTGAAGCGCGTAAGCGCCGTGTCAAAATCTAAGGGATAAACATTAGACCTTAAAGTGTTTCAGGAATCACTACATGGACTGATTTTTTTCTTTTAAAATAATTTAACAATTTTAAGAACAGGATTTAATTTTAGAGTTCTACGGTTGTCGCAACGCTCGTTCAGCAAGTGACGTCATAGTCCCTTTTATCTTTGTACACTTTGTGTAATTGAAAACATATGAGGATTAGCAGTCCATGTAGTATAAGGTCTGTGAACCCATAGAAATATAAACAAAATTTGTAATTAAAATTTCTATAAAACATCTGATAATTTGATGTGCTTATGTATAATGATCATTTTTGACCGCCAAATGGCAGCTTTTAAATTTTTTTTATTGCATCTGCGAGTCCGCTAGACCTGTCTTCCTAAAAACATAATCAGTTCTTCATCAATGCAAATAAAATGTTCATTCATTTCAATATTCTCAAAAATCTTAAAATATATCTTCTTATTTAAAAAGGCTTGTGTTTAATTGAGTCATATTAGTAAAAAAAATCAATTTAATGTAAGCAAATCATACAACTTTATTAAAAATATTTACAGTAAATAATCTGTGTTAATATTTTTTCAGAATATGTTAATGGAAGCCATCTGGTAAATTCACAGTTAATTCAAGATTTGAAACGCAAAGTACTAAAATGTTTGGAGATGGATCGAGCATTGAATGCTTCTCAAACAAGTATTGGATTTTAAATAAGTATTCTTTTATACTATTTTCATTATTAAATTCGATTATCTTGCAATGTACGTTACTCATAAGTTCAATTAAATTATCAAATCATAATTATATCTGGTGCTTCTACTTAATTGTTTGCTTTAATTGAAACAATTTTTCTATTTGAAATAATTTGATTCAATTAAAATTAATTGACATAATAAAATATATTTTAAAATATATTTTAGACATTACAATTATATTTAGTTATTGAATAGATTTTCCTTTTTATGAGCTTTTTATAGTTTCGTCGTTTATATAATCATTATATAGTTCTTCTTCATATTATATCCTTATGATATTTTTATGTGAGATTATTTATTTGAGAATTGTTCAGTTACAATTTAAAAAGTTATATAAAAAAGTAAAAAAAAACTAAAATCAAAAATGAAATACAAAAAAATTAGGTATATTGAATGAAAACTTACTGAGTTTCATTTCATTTTCAGAAACGTTCTGCCCTACCACTTTCGACGGATATTTATGCTGGTTAAGAAGCGGACCAGGAACGCGAAGTTTTCAAAATTGTCCAGATACCGTTTTAGGTTTTGATCCACAGAGAAGGGCTCATAAAGAGTAAGTTTATTTTATTGTTATTGTATGTTCTAACAGCTTCAATTTATAAATGTAACTGCTACTAATTAGTGAATTACAGATATATATTCTTTACATTACGTATGCGTATGGCCGGAGGTTCAAATCCCGCACATATTAATTTTTTTATTATTTTTAATTCAAATTTATAATTGCATGAGTAAATAATATTAAAGTTTTTTTGAATTTTTAATTAATTTTATATTTTTTGCTAAATATTCTATAGTAAAATACCCTGTAACGTCAGTATAAAATTGATGTAATACTTGAAACATAATAATTTCATATAAAAAACAGCAATAACAAAAAAGAAAAAAATAATTTATTTGCATATATTAACTGCTTTAAGGTTTACAATTTGGCGGAATGGTACTTATCATAAAAACAAGAGAAACATAAAAATAAATTACAATGAGCACATTTCACAAATGCAGTAGTATTACATAAACATTTTGCTCTAGCAACGGTTTCCGGGAAACATACTTGATTCACAGTAAAAAAAATTCTCTTGTATTATATTTGCCAGTTTGCTTGCAAACCAATCATATTGAATCATATACTGAAAAATATTTGCAGATAAATGATGATGAATTAGAGAATGTATCCTCAAGGCATCTGCCTAATTTGGTAACAATTTTGAATTTTCTTCATGAATAAATTTACCTGCCTAAAGAAATAAACGTCACAAGACTGGCAGTATGGTGTGCAATGGGGTGGTATTATTTCTACTGTACTGGTTTGTTGCCCTACTTCGTTTGTAAAATTATTGTTGAAAAGTGCTGGATCAGTTTGACCACCCCAAGAATATGGCTTAAGAACATTATCAATAAAATATGAAAAAAGTTCCTTCGTCATTTCACCGCTTTTCGACGCAGTAGCACAAATATTTTTGAATTTCTGTTCATATTTTTGAACATCCATTCAAAAATCCATGTAATAATGTCAAAACAATTACTGAATTTCCTAAGTGTGACAGCTTGTAATTAAAAAAATTTTCCTATTCTTTTACACTTATCCATCATTATTTTAAATTCACTTGATCGTTTTGAAAACACGGTCTACACGTGGTTTTTTCAAAATACTATTGAATTACGGCGAAATTTAAATGATCGAATCTAGTATGAAATGTTTTAATACTATTACTTAGAACACGAAAATATCACTCTAACCATACCGTATTAATAAATAATTGGAATATCCTTCTAATGCACTATTTTACTGATTATTAAAGACTCCATCATAAAAAGTTTTATGATTTATCTCTGCACAAATATTATATCATCTAAAATATATCATATGTGAAATGGCATAATGATCTAAAAATTATTTATTTTTATCTACAAGATTTTCTTTATTACTAACTAAATATTATTGCAGTTGCTTAGAAAATGGAACATGGTTTACCCATCCGGATACGGGATTGGAATGGTCAAATTATTCAAATTGCGTCGATATGGAAGACTTAAGGGTAAGGTTAAGATAGTAAATCACTTAAACTTAATTTATTAAACTATTGATTGAGTTTCAAATAAAACTCACCGCAAGTAATTTAATTTAGATATAATAATCTTCTTCATTCTAATAGCAAACTTGTTTAATTCATTCCAAAATTTTATTAACCAAATTTATTTATGATTTAGTGGTCCTCGTATATACTTAGGGGAAAGTCCCCGAGTGCCGGACACCTGAGGTTATTTATAAAAAAATTAAAAAATATTCTACAATAAATATTTAGTTAGATAACAAAGTTAGAAATCAAACTAAAAATACAAAAAAGCAATCTTTGCTTAAAAATAATTAACACTTTCAATAAAGCTTTGGTAACCAAAAATATAATTTTACTAAGTGGTACCTAGTACCGGACATTTCAAAATAACCAGTATTGAACACATATGTAGCCATCTCCACACTCTGGAATATCTATACATGTGTGTTTGACAAATATTCTTAAATATTGCAAAAAAATCACTAATTATCCACCCTTTTGGCTGGGCCACACCGATGCATTCATCATGGCATTTTCATTCTTTGACTAGGAAATACGAAAAATGTGGGTATGTAGTGACCGTTAGCACTCATACAGAACAAAATTAAATAATTAAAATTGCGTCAATTCTCGCAAGCAATATCAATATGTTTACTGACGACTTAGTGTCCAATGCTAAGGGACGGGACAGGCATTCTCGTTCATTTGGTGATACCTACTAAAATTGTTTAAAATATCTAATAATATTCTACCATTTTACGGGTAACAATCAAGTACTAATTTAATCTTTGAATGCCACTCAAATATAATTGCATTTCTAATATAAAATACATTAGAATAACTTCCATTGATATTTAGATGACGCTGTGATTTTGCGTCACACGAGAGTATTGGCGCGTGATTTTGTACCTGCGTGCCCCCCGCGCCCCTTTCACTTGTATGTTAAAAAAAATTATATATACTCGCTTAAATAATACGTGTTAAATAAAGTTTAGGTTAGGTGCCGTCCGGCGTTACGGGACTTCCCCCCACTATTATGCAATCTACTATTTTATTATGATATATTAACATGTGATATTATTGTATCAAATATATGCTATTGTCATGTTTACTTGTAAATGCTAGTATATTAGCGCCTAAAAATATCAATCATCGTTTTTATCAATGATTTTTTTTATTCGTCAAATATACTAAAATATTTAAACTTACTTTCATGTTTCATTCTATAGTTCATCATAGTTATTTCAATAAATTAATACAGTTTACAATTTATAATTTGTAGTTCAACAATTATTATAGTATTTTTATTTTTGATCATTTGCACTAGTTGATTATATTCTAAATTTCATTATTTGATGTTTTCTATTTATTTTAATATAAAAATATGATATATTACATTTTTATATTATTAAAAATTAGTGATTATTGAAATAAACTATAATATTTTATTACAGTTCCGTAATATAGTCAATAATATCTACTTCACTGGATATTGCATATCGCTGGTTACATTAGCGATATCACTTAGCATATTTTTATCACATAGGTGAGTATATTCTAGTACTTGTTATATTATACATATATTACTTCACTCAATAAGTCAATAACTCAAATTTCAAAATTCTTCTTTTTATTCAACATAGATTAAAGCGAATTTCGAATTTTTCCAAACCATTTATGTAGTACGATTTGTACTTTGTCACAACATTCGGCCATCATCTTTTCATTCGGCAAAAATTTCTTCACAGTCAGTATCTTTTTGAGATCTGAGAACAGGTAATGGTCGCTGGAAAACACATCTAGAAAATATAGTAGGTGGGAAAGCAATTCGAAGCCCAATTCATGATTATTTTGCCACTGTTTTCGCGGATTTGTGACTTGGTGCATTGTACTGAAAAAGCAGGAGTTTTCTTTTTCAAATGCGGCTGTTTTTACGATTTTGATCTTGAAAGGCTTCAATATCATTATACAGTAGTCACTGTTGGTGGTCTAAACTTTCTCAAGATAGTTGATGAAGTTGCATTTTTTCTTCTTATCGTCTAGTCCACTCGGCTGACTGTCTATTCGACTCCGGAGTGCAGCTATCATTTTGCAACACGTTCTATTGATATCTTTAGGGTGTCAGCTATCTTAGACAATTATACTTTTCGGTTTACCAAAACGATCCTGAGATTTTTTTATATTTTCTGGTGTAACCACCACAATTGGTCTTCTAGAGTATTCATCATCGTCAGTGTCTGTATGACATCAATTTAAATAGCAAACCACTTCTTCACCGTTTGCCTCGATTTGGCAGAGTTCATATAACACATATCAAGCAATACATTCGCTGTGATGGTATTTTTACCCATCAAAAAGCTATGATAAATCAACATATGAAAAAAATGAGACGTGGTTTGCCATCTGAATTCATAGTTTTGAAAAACTTGAATATAGCGCCACATATGAATGTGACATATTAATAAGTGCCAGCTTAATCTGAAACTGATATCGTTTAAATTGAATTAGCACATTATGATATTCATGGTCGCCTTTTTGTATTATAAACCAAGAGCAAAAAGGCGGAAGGGTGATATTTGACAACCTAATATTACTGCGCATTTTGTTAATTCAATAATTTTTGAATTAAAGATCAAAATACTTCATTCATTTTTTCAATATGTTTTATGCTTAGAAATCGAGTGATATTTCAAAAACTTTTGAAAAATGTTCAATTCTCTCTCAAATACAGTATTATCTTCAGATTTTAATATCAATTTTTTTAATTAATATTAAATTTTTACATTTCTTTGCTGAATTTGCTTCTCCTGTAAAACATTAAAAAAACTGTGTACTTCTTGTGTACGTCGAGAAAGATTTAGATGATAGGATCCATCTATTTAGTTTTATCGGTGATATTCTTTTTGTCACTAATATCTAAGAATTATTTTTTATAATATTGCATCAGATAGATCGCATATTTTCATGCTTTTTTAATAGCTCAAAAATTTTCTTGATCGAAACGTTCACGAAAATATCGAATCAGTTTTTGAGCTATATAAAAAATATTGGGCTATTGAAATGATTAAATTGACTGTGAAAGAAGTAAAATTAGAATTAAGAAGTAAAATTAATTTTTTTCATAAACTCAAGTAAAACTGCACAATTATGTCAAAAACATACATTGACTAAACGTGTGATGTAAATTACAAAATTAGTCGACTACTAAAACGACTATTGTATATATAATATAAATCCCTAATTACATGTCCTGATAAAAATTTATGTACTTTATAGGTTACTACATTGTACTCGCATATGGATTCACGTACATTTATTTCTTTCGATATTATTATCAAATTTACTATGGATATTGTGGTACTTGTTGGTGGTTCCTGATCCATTAGTCATCAGAGGAAATCCGGCATGGTGCATCTGGTTACACTTAGGAATTAATTTAACGACGGTATCAGCCCATTTATGGATGTTTTGCGAAGGAGCTCATCTTTACTTAGTTTTAGTTGTGGTAAGATAAATTTTTAAAACCATAAAAATCGACCAAAATTATGAACTAGATTTTTCTTAAAAATATGTTCTTATTTTGTACGATTCTTGCGATTTTATATTTAAACGTTGACAAGTGTTTGATAAAAAAGCAAACAAGATTTCGAATGTTGCAGTTCTAAGTTTTCTAAATACAATTTAAAAACTTAACTTTTGATTTTATTTTCAGTCTCTAAATACGCGTATTTGTCCTAAGAACTGGTAGGGTAGGGCGGGGCTATTTGAGCAAATTTTTACTTAAACGGATATAGCTCCTCAATGAAAAGTCTCAATAAATTGCTATACAGCTTAATGGATTTGTTGTTTATCGCTTAACAAAAGTATTAATACTAGTTTTTGGTAATAAGTAAAATTTAAAAGCTACAGCTGTTTAAATGCAAAAATTCAAGTATGCTCAATGTACCCCATAGGTGGGGCAAGTTGAGCACTAAGAAAGTATTATGAAATTATAGGTTCAATGTCAATTAGTGATGAGATAAAATAAGTTTTTAATAACCAGTTCTATATTTATAGTCTTTATGGACATAGAAAACAAAACTTATAGTAATTTGCTTTGAATAATTAACGATTAATTAACCTAGGAATTATTTTACCATTATATTCAGTATTTTTGTTTAAAATCATTATTTCTTTATATCATTACTCATAGACTTAGCTTAAATCTTAAAAATAATAATTAATTTCTGGAAGTTAATGGTAATTGTCTTAGTGACAGAACAAGTATAGCAACTATGCTCAACTATCCCCAACTCGGAATTTCAAAATAAAAGTGAGTTTATAAAAAAACCGTGAGATTTATACCCAGAATCTCTGTGCATATTAAAAGTACTATAATTATATGAAAGAATAAAATTTACCTGGTTAAAAATAAATAACATTTGACTAAACTAGACGAAAACTCGCGATGAATGACTTTTTTACTTTTTGGTCTCAAAGTAAACAAAACGCCCTTGAGCCTTACTCATTTGTCCAGCGGCCACTAGCGATCGCGGGATGTTTATTTCTCCCAAACCTTTATCTTTCCGCCATATAATGCCTAAACGGACGGTGAATAGTTTTCGAGATATTTTGATTGCTCAACTTGCCCCTATGCTCAACTAGCCCCGCCCTACCCTACCTTCTCATTCATTAAAATCCATTTTTGCTAAAGTATACCAATATGATAAACAGATCTGTATCGTAAAGCTAAACAAAAAATCAGTATCAAAATCTTTCTATTTCAAAAACGTATCCTAACAAAATATAATAAAGTTTATAAGCAAATTATTTAATATTTCATGAATGCATCTTAAAATATTTTTTTGTCTGCAGGTATTCCTTAAAGAAAAAGTAACAATTAGATGTTTTCTATTCATTGGTTGGGCTTTACCAGTTATTCTCATCATATTATATGGAAGTGTCAGATATTTTCAAAGGCCCGATAATGAAAAGTAAGTAAATTAAATCCTGAAATAACCAAGCACAATCGTTTCTCCTGACTGAAAGTTTTATTCACCAATTTTTTAACAATCAATTGCAAAAAAATGACATGACATATGAAAAAAGTTAAAGAGTTTTCAAAATCGGTTCAGAATTCTTTACAAAAACGGAAACGAAGAATTTTGCACTTTTTTGCTAATTCTAAAGAAGCGGGTCGGCCCATTGTTTCGAAAAACTAAACAATGCAAGTTGCCACAATATTGACTCACATCAAAAAAGCGCTAGTTATTTTGTCAAACCTTGATAAATTTTTAAAATGATTTGACTTGTAGTAGGGCCGTTATATTTAGTATGTTTTCTAAGAAGGAGAACCCGCGCGTTGCTCGTCTCGGATTTGGATGAAACTTGGCACAATGATAGATTTGATGCCCAAACTGACCGTGGTAAAATATTAGCGGCCTATGAAAAGCGGTTTAATTATAAAAATTAATTAAAGATTGCATTTTAGCAGCGCGTGGCATTACTTTAATACTTTTTCCTATTAGCAGCAGATTGGCCGAGCAGCTATCATCGTGGAATTTTAATTTTTGCTCCGGGGTTCAATTCCAAATTCAGATTTAATATTTTTTAACTTCCCGTAGGGTATTTAACTTCCCGTAGGGTAAGTTATTGTAATGGGCCAAAAATCGGAATTGAAAATTTTTACATTTCTCGACGTTTTGAAGGTTTCTGAACATTTTGGCATACTTCAGAAAAAATGGATGATGGAAATGGATACAAATTTCCAGTCACGTTTTCGGGCGCACGGATCAACCGATTTGAATGGTTCAAAAAACATTCGATTCCTATCGATAATTAATTTAATAGTTGATAGGGGAAAGAGCTGATTAGTTTTTGGCAAAGGCAGGTCCAGCCGTTTCGGGGATACGGAGCAAAGAGTGCTGAAAATAGAAATCGACTTTTTGAGAGAACGCAGTATCCGATTTGAATGATCTAAAAAACATTCAATTAGTAATGATTGGGAGAAGTGTTTATTAGTTTTTGGCAAAGGTAGGCCCAGCCAATTCGAAGATACGGAGCTAAATATGTAAAAAATGGCAGTTTTTGAGAGAACTAAGCGTCCGATTTGAATGATTCAAAGAACTTTCTGCTTGTCTTAACAAAATAATTGATTTCGAAAAAAAAAATTTTGTTTCATTTTTTTTTTTTAATTATTTGTATATCGAAAATAATTCAGATTTTATTTTTAATTCTGACTATAGTTCTAATATACTTTAAACAAATAATTTCAACTTTGCAATTCAGTTTATATAATACTTATAAATATTAGGCAATATTACAATATTTATAATAATTTATTTGAAAACATTCAGTATTCCTCGAACATTTCGTTACGGTACGGGAAGTTCCAGCAATTTGCCTTAAGGCACGATGCCACCCACCCCACTAGTTATTATTTTTGTTTGATAATTATAATTTCACGTGTAAATAATATCAATATTTACTTGAGTTTTCGATTAATTTTATATTTTTCGCTAAATATTCCATAATAAAGTCATCCAAAACACCTGTAAATTTGTATTTTGATATTACTTATGAAACTTACGATCATCTAAGATAATGATCAAGTTTTATAAAAATCGACTTAGTTACGAAGTAACGGCCAGGCCAATCTATACCAAAAATTAATCAATACGATACCCAACCAATATCTTCCGAACAGTTTTTGAATATTTACGATCGATTCAGGGTTTTTAGTTAAACTAAAAAAAAATTCGTTTTTATGCTAGTTTAAAAAAAAAGGATTTCGATCGTCGCGCAAAGATGTCAAACGCAAATCCCTGTCGAATTACATTGAAATGAGGTGAAAACTGACACTCAAGCTTTTTTCAAATTTGGTTGCAATCGATTCAAAATGACGAAGTATCGAGAAAAGATAAAGTTAGCGAATCGAAAAAGAGAAACTACTATACTTACTTAAAAAATAGTAAATGCATATTTTACGTAACTTGTTTGCAGTACTTTTTTTAATTGGCTCGGTTAACAATTCATCAATTCATCAAATATTTAAAATGTATAGGTATAGCCTTGATTAGAAATTATCATACCCCCGGAATCGCTGGTTAATCGTAAACAATGGACTGTGTTTTGAAAAATAAAACGTCTTCTTCTTTGAAATGGTAAGTTGTTGTTGACGTGTAAGTTATAGTAATCGCAAAAAATCGACAACGAAAATTTTTAATATCTTTACGTTTTAAAGGTTTCTGAACATTTTGGCATACCATAGAAAGAATGGATGTATGTGTGTGTATGTGTATAAATATTGTCGACGATTTCGGGAACACGGTTCAATCGATTTTAATTATTCAAAAAACATTTCACTTGTATTGACAAGATAAAGAATTGATCAAATTTTCCTGATAGCAGGTCTAGCGGTTTCACAGATCTAGTGAAAAAAGTAAAAAAATGCCATTTTGCGGTCAAAAATGATTATTAGACATATGCACATCAAATTATCAGATATTTTATAGAGATTTTAACAATAAGTATAAATTTTGTTTACATTCCTATGAGTTCTGTACCAACGTTTATCCATTAGAAGACGACGCGGCGCTTACGCGCTTCTATATTTCGTCTCTATGCAGTTAAAGCAGTACATACCAAAATATTTCAAAATAAAGAAAACTTTTTTTTCAAAAATCTTTTTTTTATCAATAAATTTCTGTCAAAAATTTATAGTTTCTCGAAAATCTATTTCTTTCGAAGTAATTTTTTTTCAAAAATGTTCATCTTTTTTTAAAAAAAAATTTTTGGTACGGGAAGTTCAAGCAATTTGCTTTAAGGCACGATGCCATGCGCGCTACTAGTTACCTGTTTTTTGGAACAGCAATCAGAATCTAATAGTTCTATAAGCTTTGTGCTAATTTTGACCTAATATTAGTCTGTTTTGCAGATGGGAACCCAATCAGTTGTCACTTCTCTGTACAATATATCAGTATTACAATTTTTGTAATAGAACCATTATTTTTATTGGTGTTGCAATGTCGAGTGAGAGCTATTTTTACTTGTATTAGAGACATATTGCTATCTATATTTCCAAGTAAAAATCGTTGTCACTGCAGCCTGACAATAGGCTGCTCGAAGTGGGTATCGAACCCGGGACCTTTGAAACAAGTCTCGTCGCTCTTAACCGCCTACCTATGGGCGAACCCTTCTTTGAAATACTGAACACTCTAATAAAAAAAACTTGATCGCATAATTGCTTCAATGAATTTTCTAGTGTGTTTAACTTGTTAATGTCGTCACTCAATTTTATGGATTGATTTCAAACATTGTCTAAAATAATCAGGTTCGTACATAATTGTTGTTTACGTAAACTATCTTTCACATTTCTACGCAAGAATTTTGCATTATGAAAAATCCATTTACCATTTGCAAATTACCCGTGCGATTTCATCACTGACAAGTACACTCTTGAGAGGCATATTTATGAAAGGTTATGGCTATCAAGGAAAAATAGAAATATAATGGCTTTACCTTGGTGTCCGAGAAATGCATCTATATACTTGCTGAAATTGGTACTACGGTTCTAGAATCCGTAACTTGAAGAAAACTCTCAATGGTAATTGAGAATTCCGCTAAAAGAAGTATTGATACGATGTGGCCTTGATTAGAAATAATGAGACCCCAGGAATCGCTCGTTAATTTTGAACAAAGGACTGTATTTTAAAAAATAAAACAATCACTTCTTTGAAATAATAAATTTCTTCTTTAAAAAAATAAAACACAATGTCAATTTAATAGAAGAAAAACAATTTAAAGTAACTATCATTATTAGAATCACTTAGTCAATAATAAGCAACTAAACTAATAAAAAATTCGGACGACAGTACGGATACCGAACCGAATTGAAACACCGAAGTTGATCACCGAAACCGTACTGAAAAGGAAACTTGGATGGAATGAAAAGGAAAAACTGAGAGAATTTTGACTTCGACCTAAAACGAAAAGACGGCTGAATGAGACTGAAATAGACTGACCTCATATTAATGCAAGGGTCAAAAATTGTTTGGAAGGAAAGAGACAGGTAGCCTGAATTAGAAAGAAATTGTTCTGTTTACATTGCAAACCCAAGATGGCGACTGTATTAATAACGATTTCCAATCTTTTTTGCATCGCGCGCCCCTGCTCTAATAAAAAGAATTGTTGCGCCGCCCTTAATTTTTTCAACAATTTAATTTTAAAAATACTCAACTGATATTATCAGACTACAAATTAATATGCAATATTATGTCAAAATATATATGAAAACTAATTATTTTTTGTGTATTTTTTAATATCGTTCCAAAAATGTTGGGTTATTTTTGATAATAGTATTCTGGCAACAAAGGTACGCGCTTCCCTTAGAACAGTCTGGCTGACTTATTGAATTTTATGCAGATTTATTGACATATAATTTTGGAAATATGTTAAAACAAGAATTTTTCAACAAGTTTTCCAACAAAACTAACTATTTATTTAATGACTATTCGCATAAAGCTTTGCGAATATAAATTTCTAAATGCTCTTCAAATAGTTGAGTAAATTGAATAACAAGTAACTATAATAACTTAAGGCAAATTGCTGGAACTTCCTGTACCAAAAAAATTTTTTTAAACAAAGATTAACATTTTTGAAAAAAAAATTACTTTGAAAAAATTAGATTTTTGAGAAACTATAAATTTTAAAAAAAAAAGTTTTCTTTATTTTGAAATATTTTGGAAGTTCTGAACTTTTTTTCAAAGCAATCTTACTGCTTGAACAATTAATAAAACGAAACAATTTTATTACAACGATTATCATATAAAATCGGTGAATCCTAACAATAATTGAGACTGTTTGAGTAGAGACGAAATATCGAAAGCGTCGCGTCGCCGTCTAACGAATAAACATTGGTACGGAACCCATAGAAATGTAAACAAAATTTATAATAATTGTTAAAATCTCCATAAAATATCTGAAAACTGGATGTACATATGTCTAATGATTATTTTTGATCGCCAAATGGCATTTTTTGCTAGATCTCCGAAATTGCTAGACATGCATTCATGAAAAGTTAATCAGTTGTTCATCTTGTCCATACAAGTAAGATGATTTTTGAATTAAAATCGGACACTCCGTTTTCTTAAAAACTGAGTTACCGTTTGTGGCACTTTTTGCCCCGTATCTTCGGAACGGCTAGACTTGCCTATGCCAAAAACTAATCCGCACGTCTCCTTATCAACAGCAATCGAATGTTTTTAGAATAATTGAAATCGGTTGAACCGTGTTCCCGAAATCGTCGACGAAAATTTGTATCCGCACACACACATATATCCATTTTTTCTAGGTATGCCAAAATATTCAGAAACCTTTGAAACGTAAAGATATATAAAAATTTTCATTTTCAATTTTTTGCGATTACTATAACTTACCCTACAGAAGTTAATAATGATAACAATCTAAGAATAATATACATTTGATATGTTCTAAAATTCATTATGACATAATTAATATATTTTTTTCTTATAGCTGCTGGATTGATGATAGCGTAACGATGTGGTTTCTTACATTACCTGTCTGTCTAGCACTTTTAGTCTCTGCAGGTAATAATAAATGAGCAAATTGTAATTTACAAGATTTTATATCATTATTCATATATTTTTATTGCAGTCTTTCTAGTGTGCGTAGTACGAGTTCTGTTGAAAAAGCTAAATCCATCCTCAAACCAAACTCCGCCTCTAGTTTTGAGAAAAGCAACCAGAGCTACAATAATTTTGGTATTCATTTATATTTTTATTTATACAAAAGTAGTGAATTTATTAACTTCCCGAAGGAGAAGTTTATGTTTTCATCAAAAAATCCGACTAGCTAATTTTATGTTTTCTCGACGTTTCAAGCCATTCTGAATCGAATGAGACCAAATTTGGAAAAAGTATGTGTGTGTATGTGTGTGTGTATGTGTGTGTGTGAACAGATTTTTTGCTGGAAATCGACGTTTTCTCAAAAACGGCTGGATCGATTTCAAAAATTTAAAAGCCTTTGTAAATCGCAGAAAAGTGAAAAATTTTTCGTCTACGTTTAATTTAAAATTCAAAAACCGTTCGAATGATATTGATTGGGAATCGTGCTGATTAGTTTTTGGTAGAGATCGGCCGGGCCGTTTTCTTGTAATAAAGTTTAAAAAAAAAATTTCGACGATTTTTATGATTATTTTTTTGGCGATACCATAGTTTGAAGATACCATAGTCTTCTAGATCATACTAAAATATTACGGCCCTACGACAACTCGTTTAGTTTTAAAAATTCGTCAAAGTTTGCAAAAATTAGTAAGGTCTTTTTGGCATTTGTCAAAATTAGAACTTTCGTCGACGTTTGCTCAAAAACGCCTGAACCGATTTCAAAAATTTAAAAACCATTTGATGTACCTCGATGAGGATTATCGTTTCTCAGTTTTGTGCGACGATCGGCCAAGCCGTTTCTTTGTGATTTGAAAAAAAGTGTGAAACTTTTTGTCCACATTTAAGCTCATTCTACCGAATCGATTTTAAAAAATCTAAAACTGTTCGAAAGATATTAGTTGGGAATAATACTGATTAGTTTTAGGTGAAAATCTACCGAGCCGTTTTCTTGTAATTAACTGTTGAAACAAAAATTGAAGCCGATTTTTATTGAACTTTTTTTGGCGATATATATCAATGTCTTATACAACTTATTGAAATATTACGCCCTTACGACAAGTAGTTTAATTTTAAAAATTCATCAAATTTTAAGAAAATGAGTAGTTTTTTTTGACGTTTGTTAAAATTAAAAATAGATGACTTACTTGGTATAACGGTAGAGTTCTTGGTTTTAATGAACATACTGAGCCATTAAAGTCCTATGGAAACTGGTTCAATTATAATAATTGTTGATTTTAGAAAATACTCCGAGTCAAAGTGTTCGTTCGTGTTCAATTATGTGTAATAAATCCACTCGGAATACTTTTAATCACTCATAAATTAATTTATTTTTTATTGATTAAGTCGATTATTCACACATATCGGGAAGTTCATGTAACTTGCCTCAAGGCTAAATACCAAACCAACTAGTTTTATCATTAATATTATATTTTGTAATGAACACTCGCGACATATCGATTGAAACTATTACCCAATATAAATAAACATTCTAAAATATGTTATATTGTATATGTAAAACTTTTGAAATTTTTATCTGTTTTTCTAAATTTGATTTATCCCTTTCGGATGTAATGCAACTATGTCAATGCTTTTCCCAATTTTGAAAATATTTTCATACTTCATTACTTTCATTTACTTCACTATAAGAAATTATCTACTAGGGCTGACTTATTACAAACTTCCCGAAGAAGCAGTTTGTTAACAATATTTGTACTTATTATTAATATTCTTAAAAAGTACCTGATAATTTGATGTGCGTATGTTCAATGATCATTTTTTACCACCAAGTGTTATTTGCATAACTTTTTTCTGGATCTTCACAACCGCTGAACCTGCCTTCCCAAAAATTGGCTAATTTTCATTTCGTCAATATAAGTAAAATGTTTTTTGAATCATTCAAATCGGGCACTCCGTTCGCTCGAAACCCGAATTTCTATTTTTCCACGCATCTTCGAAATGACTGAACATGCCTTTGCCAAAAACTAAATAGCACATCTCCCTATCAGTAGGAATCGAATGGTTCTTGATTTATGCAAATCGGTTGATCCGTGCTCTCGAAATCGTGGACGAAAATTAATTATTTGTCCTAATTGCATACATACATTTTACTTACATCCAAACATACGCATACACAAACATCGAGAAGTTAAAAATGAAAACAAAATTCGTACTGATTATTAAAATTTTTGTAAAATAATTTGATGTGCAAATCTACATTGATCATTTTTGACCACCAAATGACACTTTTTTGGACCACCAAATGGCACTTTTTTGGATCACCAAAAACGCTGACCCTGCCATCGCAAGAATTTAGTCAATTCTTCATTTCTTTCGTCGCACAAATAAAATGTTTTGAATTTTTCAATCGAATAGAGAATGGTTCTCTAAAAATTTTAATAGTTATTTTTTATCATTTTGCCCCCTATTCCGAAATGGGTAAAACTGTCTTTACCAAAAGCTAATCAGCACATCTTCCCGACAATTGAATCATTCAATCGGTCGATTCGTCTCAAAAACGTCAACAAAAAAATGTAACCGCAAATACACAATCATACATTTATTTTTTCAAAGATATGCCAAAATGTTCAGAAGGTTTTGAAACGCGAATATTTATAAACGATTTTATTTACGTTTCGTTTTTCGAATTACTATGACTTACCCGTGAAGGGAATGCCAATTGGTGGTCAAAAATGATCAATGAACATAAGCAAGCCCAATTGGCAAATATTTTACTTTAGGTTCACTTTTAAAGATGTCATTTTAATCGTGCCTTGAGGTAAATTGCTGGAACTTCCCATACCGTAACAAAATATTCAAGAAATATTAAATATTTTCAAATAGATTATTATAAATACTGTAGCATTGTCTAATATTTATAAGAATTATATAAACAAAATTGCAAGGTTGAAAATATTTGTTTAAAGTGTATTAGAACTTTAGTCAGAATTAAAATTAAAACCTGAATTATTTTCAATATACAAAAAAATTTTTTTTGAAACAATTTTTTTCCAAAAGCAATTATTTTGTTAAAACAAGCAGAAAGTTTTTTGAATCATTCAAATCGGACGCTTAGTTCTCTCAAAAACTGCCATTTTTTGCACATTTAGCTCTGTATCTCCGAAACCGCTGGACCTGCCTTTGCCAAAAACTAATCACCCCTTCTCCCCGTCATTACAAATTGAATGTTTTTTTGGATTATTCAAATCGGATGTTCCGATCTCTCAAAAACACGATTTCTATTTTCTGCACCTTTTGGTCTGTATCTTCGAAACGGCTGGACCTGCCTTTGCCAAAAACTAATCAGCACATCTCCCTATCAATAGGAATCGAATGCTTTTGAACCATTCAAATCGGTTGATCCGTGCTCCCGAAAATGTGGACGAAAAATTGTATCCATACATACATACACACATCCATTTTTTCTGAGGTATGCCAAAATGTTCAGAAACCTTCAAAATCTCGAGAAGTGTAAAAATTTTCAATTTCGATTTTTGGACGATTACAATAACTTACCCTAGAGGTAGTTAAAAATATATATGAACAACGAAATAATTAAATTATCATAAAATAACAATTAATATGTTATGTTAATTTTCGAGCTAAAAATAAAAATTATAAAATTATTTATTTCTCCCAACTTTTTTTTTTATTTTATTTTATTTTTCCCAAAAAAGCTTATCAATTTGATTTTTTATTTTATTTTAAACATGATACATCAATAAAAATATTAATGAGGCGCCCATGAATAAGTTTGATTAGAAAACGAATAACATTCTATCTCACACAAAATTATCGAGATCAGGATCAATGCTTAAAATAAATTGCCGTGACAATTTTTCGGATTTAAAATTTTGACATTCTGAAAAATTTGCCGCCCCCCAAATGGTGCCGCCCTAGGCCCGGACCTCACGGGCCTATGGGGTAATCCAGCACTGGCAAGTCTTGATATAGCTTTGATCATAAACGCGATTTTTTCAGAGATTTTTTTATACTATTTAATTTTTGCTGTTACTGTTAAAGAGATAGCATTATTAATAATAATGTAACTTTTCTTATTAGATAATAATAGATTATAGATATATTCTTAGATAATAATAGTTGTGATTTTAACTTCCTCACCATTTTATATAATATTTATTGTATTATTTTATTTAATACTATGCAATTTTATTACGTCTAAAGCTTTAATTTATTACGGTATTACGGTAAGTACTTATATCAAAAATCGCACCGGCGGAGCAACGTAAATTTAGATGGTTTTATGGTTTTATGTTTTCTATACACTATGCAGTCAGAGCCGTGCCTGACCTTTTGAGGCGGCCAAATGAAAAAAACAACATATTTAAAGGCGGCCATAACAAAAAGTGGCCATAATAAATAGCTGTCGCATTAAAAGTCCACTGAATTAAAAGGCGGCCAAATTAAGATTGCTGGATTAAGAGGCGGCCAAACTCAAAGTCCGCTGACTTCAGTCGCTGCCGTAAAGTCCGCTTTATAAATTTAAAAGACCAAAGTACCTTACTAAAAATCAGCCAAAGGCGGCCGTATTGAATGCGGCTCTGTTTCCAAATAATTCATAAGTGTATAATCTTGGTATAAGTGGCAACTTTGCTGTAAAGCAAGTTGCATGAACTATACAGCATGTGTAAATAATCGACTTAACTATAAAAAATATATTGATTCATGGGTACAACATTGCAATGTGAAAAACTATCGCAGATTATTCAATTTTGTACAAATTTTCTAAAAATGTTAGTTATTTTTTATAAATAGTTTAAAAATTACATACTATCGAACAAGAAGCAAACTGTAGTAAACATGATTCAAATTTCCAAAGCAATCTGTTAATCAATAACTGAGAAACGACTAGTCGATTATTGACAAAATTTAAGCACTATTCTCAAATAGAACGTTTGCAATGGTTTTTAAATTTAAAAAATCGATTTACGAATATAGGCTATAACGCGGACGAAAAATTTAGACTTTTTTGACAATTCTAAAGAAACGGCTCGACCGATCGTGAGGCAAAACTAACCAGCATGAGCGCTTATGGAATTTGCGAATTTCAATGATTTTTCAAATAGGATTGTGCATTTTTAAGAAAATGTCGACTAAAAATGAAATTTTGACTCACGTAAAAAAGTATTTGATAGTATTTTAAAAATAAAAATGACTTACCGTGGGGTCGAAATATTTAGTTATTTTTGAGACCATGATCACTATCGCCAAGTAAGTTTTATAAATATCATTGAAGAGCAATATTAACTTCCCGTAGGGTAAGTTATAGTAATCGCAAAAAAATCGAAAATGAAAATTTTTATATATCTTTACGTTTCAGAGGTTTCTGAATATTTTGGCATACCTTAGAAAAAATGGATGTATGTGTGTGTGTGTGTGCGTAGTATGTATGTGTGTGCGGATACAAATTTTCGTCGACGATTTCAGGAACACGGATGAAGCAATTTGAATAATTTAAAAAACATTCGATCCGTATTGATAAGGAGACGTGCTGATTAGTTTTTGGCGGAGGTAGGTCTAGCCGTTCCGAAGATATGGGGCAAAAAGTGCCAAAACGGTACCTCAGTTTTCAATAGAACGGAGCGTCCGATTTTAATAATTCAAAAAACATTTTACTTGTATTGACAAGATGAAGATTTGATCAAATTTTTATAAGGACAGGTTTAGCGGTTTCGGAGATATAACAAAAAAAAAAAAAAAAAATGCCATTTGGCGGTCAAAAATGATCATTAGACATATGCACATCAAATTATCAGATATTTTATAGAGATTTTAACAATAAGTATAAATTTTGTTTACATTCCTATGGGTTCCGTACCAATGTTTACCCGTTAGACAGCGACGCGGCGCTTACGCGCTTTATATTTTGTCTCTATGCATTTAAAGCAGTACGATTGCTTTGAAAAAAAGTTCAGATCTTCCAACATATGTCAAAATAAAGAAAACATTTTTTTTTCAAAAAAAAAGATTTAAAAAAAAAATTTTTTTTTTAATTTTCTTTTTTCAAAAAAAAAGTAATTTTTTGTCAAATTTATAGTTTCTCAAAAGTCTTATTTTTTCGAAGTAATTTTTTTTTCAAAAATGTTATACATTTTTAAAAAAAATAATAATTTTTGGTACGGGAAGTTCCAGCAATTTGCCTTAAGGCACGATGCCCTAATTGCCTTAAGACAGAATTCAACTTACAGCTAGTTTCAAAATTAAACACGAAGAAACGATCCGATCGATCTCTCAGAACTAATCAGCACGATTCCTAAATGATTTATTTCAAACAGTTTCTGAATTTTTAAAATCGATGCAGAATTTTTGGCTAAAACGTGTACGAAAATTTTTATATTTTTCTGTTGATTAGAAACAGCTTGGCCGATCGTAGCACAAAACTGAAAGACGCTAGTGTTTATTAGTTACATCAAATGACTTTTAAACTTTTGAATATTTGAATTCAAGTTCAATTCGTTTTTGAGAAAACGTTGGCGAAAAGTAAAAAAATCGGCTCATATACACGTTTTTTTTTAAATTTGGTCTCAAACGATTCAGAATGACTTGAAATGTCGAGAAAACATGCAAATTACAAGTCGTATTTTTTTGTGAGAACATATTGGATATTTTCCTATTATTCTATTTTTATGGGCGGCCATTTATATGCTCGCACGCAGGCGGCCACATACCCAGGCACGGCCCTTCTTAATTAAATTGTATCGTGAATCGCATGCAGAAAGAAATTATTAAATTCCAAATCCTGATTATGCTTTGATGTTTTCAGATTCCACTCTTTGGATTGCAGCATTTACTCATTCCATTCAGACCAAATACTGGAACGTTTGCAGAAGTGATTTATCAAATAGTTTCGTCTGTATTATTAAGCTCACAGGTTTGTTATAATACATATATATGCATTTCTTCAATTCAATTTCAGTTTAAAAACATGTGTTTCATTGTATATGGTGAATTGCAATGTGTTGGTGATATGTTTTTTTACCCAAAAATTATTATAATCTATCACTCTTATTTAAATATTACACAATATTATTTGTTTTGTAATATTATTATTTTTTGGAAAAATTAGATTTCTTATATTTTGTTTTTTTTTTTAATTTTGAACATTTTTTTTAAACAATCGCGCTGAATAGCTGATTTGGCGTCGCAATATTAAGTTAGCGTAGTCGGCTAACGTGTAAACGAGGGAACGGAACCCATATAAATATACACAAAATTTGTACTTATCATAATCTTTATTATAATCAAATTTATCATAAATTATTATAATCTTTATAAAATATCTGAAAATACGATGTACATATGTTCATCGTATCATGTCTAATGATCATTTTTGACCGCCAAATTGATTTATTTTTTACTTTTTTATTGGATCTTCGGAGACGCTAGACCTACCTTTACAAAAATGTTGTAAAGTTCAATTTGTTCATTTCGTCAATACTAGTAAAATGTTTTTTGAATGATTTAAATTGGACGCTCCGTTATCTCAAAAACTCACAAAAACGAAAATACCATTTCTGGCACTTCTTGCTCTTTTAATGTTTTCTTCATATCAAATAAATGTAAGTTAATAATTTTATTTTTTATGTTTCAGGGAATATGCGTTTCATGCTTGTTCTGCTTTCTGAACCAAGAAGTTCATCAGGCGTTGAAAGGAACTTTCAGAAAATTTTATCATCAAAATATTTTTAACAGAGAATCAATAACAATTCTAGAAACAATGCAAGTTATGCCAAATGTACAAAGTGATGTAAATAATTAATTGGTTTGATTTTATTAAATTGCCATTAATAACCACAATAATATGAAGAAGTTCACATTTATGGAATTAAAATGTATTAATTTTTAATAGACCTAACAGACTGAGATTTTAATATATAATTTTTAGTTAAATTTATTCTTGAACTAAAAAGTTTTAAATAATTGATATTTGATTATTATTTTATTTGCCATTTAAAATAGTTCAAATCTTTAGATCCGAAGAATATGAGATGAAATATATATAAAGTATATATTGTGATATAATTTTGTTTGATTAATTTATGATTATTTATAAGATTTCAATCATTAATGATGATAAATAAAAACTGGACTGAAACTAATAACAAACTTATAATCCAATGCGAGTTTTTTAATCTTGGTTGTTATAAATAACGCGATCGAAACCTGACTGGATATGATTATGGTTATGACAAAAAGTGAGATAGAATAAAAGGGTAAAATGTGAATTAGCTAACTTTCAGAATGTCAGTCAATTTTCCTAATCAATATTTACATTTTTTTTACTTCATATTGATATGTAATAAATTATAAATGTTTATTTAAAAAAACTTCAAGTGAAAATTTATTCAGTGCGTTATCATCAATCATCACAAATACCGAGCATATTTATATAATATATAAATTACATTAATACAATCTTTCATTCATTTATCATTAAAATATATCCATAACAAAGTTATAAAAATAGTAATTCAATATGGTGCAAAAAAACACTAATTTATAACATATGCATTAGTTGGGATTTTAAAAAACGTCGTTCGATATTTTAAAAAAACTAATAATACATATATTTTCTGATGTTAAACAACTTACAAAAAAAGATATATTATTTACTTGACTCCCATATTGAATCTCTTCAATCGTAGCTGGGCTTTTTCAGCATTTGTCATTGTAGCTTTTATTTTAACATCAGTTGGTGATGTTGTTACATTAGTATTCTGAATTGAACCGAATCGTTCTTTCCTTTTCTCAAGCTTTTCTTTAGCCTCGGCCTCCGAAAGTTTCTTCGAAACAGAGCTTCCAAACCTCTCCGCTCGCTTTTTTAAAACTTCAAGGGTTGCATCCTATAAAAGAGAGAAAAGATAACATTATGTATTTAGCATGTCTCCCAATTAATACGAATCGAATGTTTTTTGAATCATTTAAATCGGTTGATGCGTGCGCCCGAAATCGTGGACGAAAAATTGCATGGAAACATGCACATATACACCCACACCACACATACTATTTCTTGTAAGGTATGTCAGAATGTTCAAAAGCCTTTGAAACGTAAAAATATACAAGAACCCTGAGCGTAAGTTTCTGCGTTTTTTGGCGAATGATTTAACTAACAATAAGTTAGACAATAGTACACAGAGTCCTTGTTGATTTATTGCAAATGAAACTTAATGAAAATCCAAAAAGAGCATGTTTACCAAAATATGTACTTGATGACTTAAAATATTCCTTATGCATACAGATGTTGACACAAATATCTTAAATATTAATTTGTTTACAATTGCAAATAAGGTCAAAGTTGCTTAAAACACAATAGACGAGTGTGAAAATGATGCCCAAAAATAATATTATTTTGATATCAATTGATTGTTTAAAAAAAATATATGTTTAGAAGATGCTTCTCTGTGAATAACGCCATGAAATGACGCCAAAAATAAATATCTTGATATCAATTGATTGTTTAAAAAAAAAAATATGTTTAGAAGATGCTTCTCTGTGAATAACAATTGTTATTGGAAACGAAAATAATCGGCCTCACATATGCACACTTTTCATTTCGAGATACTGGTAAAATGGTCAGAATAATTTGAAACATCAAAATATAAAAATTGCAAATCGTATTTTTAAGTGTAAATACATACTTTTTGTTTACAAAGTTAAATATAATGCACATATGCCTAAGTAGTTCTTTAATAATATTATCATTCTTATGTTTTTTTTTTAAATTAATTTCAAATCATAAATATCAAAGATGATTATTTGATATATTTGTTAAAAATTCATATTTAACTTCAATCAATTCTTACCTCACTCTTTGCTATTGACTTAGAATTGTTCAGCCCAAATCTTTGAGCCCGTAATTCTTTCTTCATATCAGATGGTAATTGTGTCCCAAATTTCTTTGCACGCATCTCTAGACGCTGTAACAAAAAAAAAATAAGTTAAAAAATATTCTTATTTAAGTAATAATATTACTTATTAGTACTTGTAGACCTGAACATATACCCAAATTTTTTTCTTTTGCAAGAGCTATATAAGTAAAAGGAGGAAAAGGATAAAAAAAATAAGTTAAAAATATTTAAGTAATAATATTACTTATTAGTACTTGCAGACCTAAATATATACCCAAAAATTTTTCTTTTAAAAAAGCTATATAAGTGAAAGGAATATATCATGCACTAATTCCAAGTATTTTTGAAATATGCTAATATTTATGAGATTTTCCTAATTATATGTTTTAACAAAATATACAAAAAAATAGGTTATTATAAACTAAGTTTGAGAATCTGTAACCCTATATATAAAGTTGTTAATCAAGAACATAAAAAATTAACTATCTGTAGCCTGTTATTATGGATATATTTTTATGTTTGCTTTTATCATGTGTTTATAATATCTCCAAGCTTAGTGAAAAAAAATTGGCTACTGTTCATAATGTTTAATTTAAACCTTTAACATACCATAAATGTTAATTAAAATGGTTTGTTCAATATTATTTGTTCAAAGTAACATCTATTTCCCCACATGTTTATTGTCGAACAACTATTAACAGATATGATAAGTTATTGCAGCTTGATATTAAAAATTATTATTCACTGGCCTTCATTAAATCAAAAATATTTTCCAATATAGATCATCAATATGTTTGTAAGAGAAAATACCAAATTAATTACAAATCCAACTGCCCTATGTTAAGAAAAAATTACCAGGAGTAAATTTTGTTTAATACAGATAACAAATAATTATTCAACATTAGTTATTATAAATAATATAGTCTGCAACAAATTTAGATAATTTAACATTCACTATTTGTTTCCCATATTGTATTCTTATTCAAATTTCATTTTTTTAACAAATAAGTAGAGAAGTAATTTTTTCATTTCAGTTTTCTATGTCGGTTTATTTTCAATATTCCTATTTTTGTTCTTGATTCTTTTCAATATACCGATGACCAATTAAAAATCAATATTTTAAGTATTCGCACCTGTGTAACTGAATCAGCTAACACAAAAAAAGAATTTGACTCAAGTGGCTTAGGATCATATTCAAAATAATTAGTTTGTCACAAAATCACATTCCTCTTTCATCAAAAGAACAAATTTGTTCGTTCATAAGACAAACTCAAAATACAAATATTACTAGAAACATTTAGTTACACAATTGTTACTTTTTTAAAAGCAAAGTTAATAAAAGCAAATTGAAACATATTTTATTTAAAAAAAAAAAATTTAGTGATATTCGAAGTTATCATTAAAAACATTTTTAGTGCATAATCTATCATGCAGATTTTCCCAGTTCTAACTCTTTTCAACATGTTTATTTAAAAACACCTAATTGTCATTCTAACTGTTTGTTATATATAATCCATTCATTTATGATTTTGATTATATATTATATATATTCCACGCACTTATTTTATTATTTATAGTTACTAATTAGTTACTAATAAACTATATTAGTTTTGTCTGTTTATTTTCTAATCAAGTCATCAGTAATTTCTTTTTCAAACATTATTATAATTATTCAAAAAATCTAAGTTTTGAAAACTGATTATAATTTGCTTGTCATTCCCTAGATAAAGTATTTTACAATAGAAATGTCAAAACAAAATGCAAACTAAAGAATAAATTTCAATAAAATTATTCAAATGTTTATGTTTGAAGCAATATATCATATTATTACACATTATTTGAAGAAAGTTACTTAAAATTGTTTAAGAACAAACCTCTTTATCAGAATATGAGCCTAGTTTGATTATTTTCCTCGGTTCTTCTGATGTAGGTTTTTCTACAGTTGTTTCAACTTCTACAGTATTATCCTTGATGTCTGTTTCTTCATGTTTTTCATCAATCATATCATGTGTTCTTTTTAATGTGATTGTATTTTCAATTGGAGGAGTTGTATCAACATCTTTATCCTCCAGTTCGTCATCCTATTTTATAACACAAAAAATATGAAAAATAATAATTCAAATAGGAGATCAATGCAACTACAGTAAATAGAATGAATCTTATATTGTAATTAGTAAATTTTAATCTCTTTATAATCTATTGGGTTGTTCGGAAAGTAACTTCATTTTTTGTAGACATTTTGGCATGTAATTTTCGTACAATAAACAAATACTTTAATAAATTATGTATTGGCAGTTTTGATCAAATATCTTTTGTCATATTTCTGGTAATAGCATAATTCATAGATCATAAATTTTTTGGTCGTTATAGGCAAAAAACTGATAAAAGTGCTTTTTGACATGCTGATTTGAGGTAAAGGTTTTACTGACTATAACTTTTTTTAGTGACCGAAACAAATAATGGTCCAATGATGACAGGTCTGGACAATATGCTGAATGTATCAATGGGTCCCATTTAAGCCTCAAAAGCTTTTGGCGATTGACCAAACTTATGTGAGGTCTTGGGTCGACCTGATGCAGTACAATACCTTTCGCTCTATGAGAATCATACATTGAGTTTTGAGGAAAATCCCAGACCTCTTGAGTGGTCATAAACTGTTAAATTTGATAATTTTTAATTCAATGGGATCTTATGTATTGTTATTTGCCTGTTTGCATCAACCAATGCCTTTCTCGCGTCTTTATCAGCTCCAACCATACTTCTTGGACATCAAAATACCAGGAATGAAATTTAGCAAACCAATTTTGGCATTGTCATACTTTCAACAGGTCATTGCCATACACATCGATCAATTTCATTTTCACTTAAACAGTTTTTTACCTTTTCTATAGCAAAAGAGTAGAATATGTCGAAAATGCTGCTTAATTCTATCTATATTCAAAGTGGCACCATCCAAAAACTACTGCATGTAATTGATTAGAATTTGTTACACACAAGCCTTAAAATAAAGCTTTAAAGTGTGATGTTATTTTCAAAAAAATATAGATAAATTCTGGTGGTAAAAAAACGAAGTGATTTTCCGAACAACCTTATAATATTCTCAACTTGACTATATATTTAAGAAAAACTAAATGATGCAAACTTTCTATCATACATTTATGAACTTAAATACTTACATTCAATACATCTTCGTCTAATATAGCTGAATCTGCCAAAACATCAGACTTGGCATCTGCTATATCTGAAATATCACATTACATAAATTATAATATAATGATAAAATCTTAACTAATTAGATGTACCAATTTATTTACCAAGATCATTATTAGTTAAAGAATCTTTGAGTCTTTCTATCAATTCGTTCTTATTTCCATTTGTGCTTAATCCCTTTGATTTCAGCTCTTTTTTTAAATCAGCAACCTATAAAAAACAATAATTTATACCATAAACTAATAAACATACCATGTAACAGAATTAACAGTACAAATTAATTTTATGTACAAAACTAATTCTCAAGAATTATTCACATAATATGTATGTAGTGGCAAAATAAACAATCGTGTGATAAAAAACATGTCAGGCACACATTTCAAGATCAATTACGCATCCAGTAAGGCAAAAATAAATAAACTAACATGTGTTGTTCTTTAAAAATTCAAGGAAACTCGTAAAGTTTAACTAAATAGAGACCATGAACGTCTTTCCTTCAGTAAATTTTATAAACAGAAACCGGCACAAAAACATGGTACTGATATTCTAATAATGAGCAATTGTAATTATACCATTTATATAACAAAATAGTGAAATCGTATAATGATAGATAAAATTTTTATTCACCTTTAGTTTAGAGAGATCAGTTGAGCTGCTATCGATTAAATCAGACATTTTAATAGGTTATGTAAATAAGCTATTTTGCTTTGCATTAAGAAATAACAAGACCAGAATTCGATCAAATTGCTGAATTTCATATATCTAAAATATACGAATAGATTTACTTGATACTTGAACAAGAAAGCAGGACGAAAACACAGATGAAACAAATCTGACAGTTTTCAAAGGGTTTTCAACAAAAAAGCAGGGTGATCACAAATTCTTGTTGATCAACATAGAGAGCAAGAGAGCTACTAGGCCATAGATTTATTATTTTGACTCGGTTTGGCATGGGCATCGATAGTTTCGAGCATAGTGTCTTTTTTGTACTTTGAGACCTAGACAAGACACTACTAATGTTTCAACTCGCTTTAGAGAATCCGGGAACTGGAAACCTCAAAATCAAGCAGCGAAGAGTTTAATTAAACTGTTGAATTGTTGCAAAACTAGCGGTGCATGGCATCGTGTCTTAAGGCAAATTGCTGAAACTTTCCGCACTGAAAATTAAAATATTAAAATTTTTGAAAAACTTAAAAAATGAGATTGACAAAATATTTGGCTTTTACTTGAAAGATTTAATTTTTTTTTTACAAATCAAAATCGTCAAAATAAATTAAAATTTAATTGTGAAGAAATGGCCCGGCCGATCCGGCCGATACTCTTCTTTTATCTATGGGCCGATCTTTACCAAATAATCTACCATAATATCTTTCGAACAGTTTTTTGAATTTTTAAAATCGATTCATAATTGTGAGCTAAAACGTGGACAATTTTTTTTACACTATTCTGCTAATTACAAAGAGCTGGTGTTGAAATTGAGTTAGGTCGAATGGCTTAAAAAATTTTTGAAAGCTGTAGAAAAATAAACGTAGCAGCCATTTTTGAAAAAACGTTGACGAACGGTCAAAAATTGGCCTAAATACTCACGCACATGCATACAAATTACACACACACATACTTTTTTTCAAATTTGGTCTCATTCAATTCAGAATTACTTAAAAAGTTGAGAAAATAAAATTTTATGCAAAAATCTTCAACCGATTTTGAAAATGTGAAAACCGTTCGAAAGACATCAGTTGGTAAATCATTGATGATCATCATGATGATGATTAGTTTTTAGTTAAGATGGGCCGGGGCCATATTCATAATTAATCGTAGATCTTTTTATGATTTTGATGAAATTTTGTAAGCTGATAGAGTCTAAACCACTCTATTACACTAAACTAATATATTAAAATATTAAATAGGCCTACAAAACCGGTTGAAGTGGCAAAAATCCGCGGACATCTTTTAGTATGTGTGTTGTACTACATAGAAATAAACATGGCCTCCAAATTGTTGGGAACCTGCTCGAAATTATTTTAAGCACTAAGCAAATTATTTTAAGCATATAGTTCAAAACATTATAAAAGTAGTGGTGCCATGGCATTTCCCGTACCGTAATTTAAAATGTTCAAAAGCTCAAAAAAGTTGTATTTATTAACTTACCCTATGTGAAGTTAATAAATACAACCTCATCAAATTTTTGAAGAGTTTTTGAGTTTGAAAAAAAAAGGACTGTAATTAGTCTTAAAAGACCGTTGCATATTTTCAATAAAATCTAGTCAAATTCTAAAGTAGAATGTGAGTTGGTTTCTCAACTTGTTCAATGTTTTCAAATGGCCTATAAAACATATATTAACTAAATTATATTAATAAAAAAATATATTATAGTTTCATTCAATAAATGTATTTCTTAACCAAATATTTTCAAACATTGTCTATAAAGATTTGAGGTATAAATTAAAAGTTTCAACAGGTGTACCAGCAACATTAATGCAAAATTCTTCATTAGTTCCTTCAATCAAAGCTTTTAAAGACACGTAGTTAGGTTTTGTGCAATCATATTGATTGCGATTTAAATGTCTCAAGAACGAATCCCTTTGCTTAATTATAAACTCTCTTGCATAAAATATTTCTGGCATTTCTAATATATGTTTATGTGATATTTTCATAGTATTGTGAATATAATCAAATTTTGCTAGTAATTTAAATCTATCTGAAATTATTCAAATATTATAATTTCACACAAAATATAATGAATAGATCTTTAATCCAAAAATTTAATAATTCTTACTTTGCATCCATATTCGCGGCTTCCTCAATAATAAAATTTTCATCTCATCATCTGTAAACCCCATTTCTTCTTTAATTGTAAAAGTATTTTCTTTGATTGAGTTCATACTATATGTTATGAGTCGTGGCTGTGCGTTTGCCAATGCACGTACTTCATTTCCTGTGAGATTAAAATCTTTTTGAAAGTAACCTAGCCTTTGATCGATATCTCTTGTACTGAAATATAAAAAAAAAAACTCGTTAGGGATCGTTCAAGTATTACGTAAGCAGATTTATTACAATTATTTACCCCCCCCCCCTCCTCTTTGTCAGCAAAAGTAAGCAAATTTCTTACCCAAACTAAACAAAATAAGCAAATAAATAACCCCCCCCAGCCCCCCTATAGTGCTTACGTAATACTTGAACGGCCCTTTATGCCTAAATATATAAAACCAACATGCTAGCATGTAAAATTTGAATTTCCGTTACCTGTAACTCAACCACATAGGGTTTTTTGTTATGATTCTGGAAATCATTTCAGGTGTAAATTGTTTGTACTGCATATAATAAATTCTAGTTTGTACATCATCAATATCTTCTTTTAAAAATCCAGGGTTTTTTGTTAGAAATTTTCCAAGTTCTTCCATGGGAACACCGAGGCCATTCAAATAAATTATTCTGTTTTTAATATCTTTATCATAATCTAGTTGCAAAATATAATCAGGAACGTTTTTCATTTTTTCTAGTTTACTCAAATCTACTCCTAACTTGACTAATTCCTGCAATGTTTTAGATTTATTGACGTAAGCAGCAAAATTAAAAGACTGTTTCAGATAGGGAGTAAAGCTTTGTAAGTCATCTTCTTGTGTTGGGGGTAAAAGGACGGATCTGTTTTCATCTTGTTTAATTTTCTTTAATTCCGTATTCCAATCGATAATACCATTTTCCAATTCTTCAGTAGTAGTAACAGTTTGAAGAATTACTTTATTTTGGGTATTTGTTGCTACTGCTTTTTCTGAACTTCCATAACGTGCACATATTTGGTTAAATTTGCCTTGCCTCGAGGTTATATTGTGGAATAACTTACGCATTATCATAAATAATAAATACTTGAAATCGAATTATTGTTGGTCCATTTTTAATTTGCACTACTGTAAATAAAATAAGTCAATCAAATTCAATCAGCAAAAATTTTTTAGTAGTAATATTATTTTGTTTGTATCTAATTCTACTAACCTAACTTATGTTGACGTTGCTGTGTTCTAAATTATCAGACACAACAATTGACAGAAGATTCAGATTCTCACGAAGTAGAAAATAACTTTATATATTTTGTTTGTCATAAGACATTTTTCGTAGGTATGAATAAAAGAATATAATATGTAGTTTGATTTCAAATATATTAAAAATCCAATAAAAATTGTTATTTATCGTTTCCATGAAAGATGATGTCAAACGTCATTATTTCTAAATATGAAGCAAGAATGTTGTGTATAGTTTGTAGTTGCTGATGTTAAAACATATTACAAACATTATCGAAATAATTTAGTAATAATTTCCTAGGCAATATATTCTATTCAATAGACAATATAATCTATTCATAATTCTTCCAATTATCTAGTTTATGCATAAGACAAAGTGAAAGCTCTATCATGGACCTCAAGATGTATACAGTAAACAACAAGTATGAAAAATATATTATGTTTATTGTATTGGGATGTTCGGAAAGTAACTTCGTTTTTTACAGACTACAATAAACATTTGCTTTAATAAATTATGTATTGGCAGTTTTGATCGAACATCTTTTGTCATATTTCTGGTATTAGCATAATACCGAAATCATAAATGTTTTGGTCTTTATTGGCAAAAAACTGATCAATGTGCTTTTCGACAGTCTGATTTGAGGTAAAGGTTTCACCGCCTAAAAATTTTTTTAGTTGCCGGAACAAATATTGGTCTGATGATGGCAGATCTGGAGAATATGAGGAATGTGTCATTGGGTTCCATTCAAGCTTCAAAAGCTATTGATGATTGATCAAGCTTATGTGAGGTCTTGCATTGTCTTGATACAGGACTATACCTTGTGGGTTAATTCTGACCTTTTCTATTGAAGAATATCATTTAGTTTATCCAGCTGATGACATAAGGCATCTGAAATAACCGTTATGTTATCCTGGTAAAGCTGAAAAATGAACAACTCCTTTAAAATCTTACCAAACATACTGCATCACTTTTTTCTGGTAAATTTCAGCTTTGCACCTGTTTTGAGCAGGTTTTTCCTTTTTGTCTCATGGGCAATTGCGTGTATTGTACTCTTTACATCCCATTTGAAATTCTTAGTGACATATTGCTTCAAAACCTGATAATTTTCAAGACTTTCCAGGGGCTATTCGCGGACGCCAGCGCGACGACACACGTTTCTTTCTATGAGAACCATACATTGAGTTTCGAGGAAATTCCCAGACCTTTTAAGTGGTAATGAACTGTTAAATTTGATAAATTTTCACTCAGGGATCTCATGTATTGTTATTCACTGGTTTGCTTCAACTAATGTCTTTCTCATGTCTTTATCAGCTTCAACCGTACTTCTTGGACTTGTAATTTGGACATCAAAATACCAGGAATGAAATTTAACAAACCAATTTTCGGACTGTCGTACTGTCAACACGTTATTTCCGTACACACCAATCAATCATTTTGGCTTAAACAGTTTTTATACCTTTTCTATAGCAAAAGAGTAAAATTTGTTGAAAATGCTGCTCAATTCTTTCCATATTCAAAGTGGCACCATCTAAAACTACTGCATGTAATTGATTAGAATTTTTACATTCAAGCCTTAAAATATAAGGTTTCAAATCATATAATAATTATAGGACTTAAGTGTGATGTTAGGTTCAAAAAAATATAGTTAAATTCTGGTGGTAAAAAAACAAAGTGACTTTCCGAACAACTTTATATATGTCTTTCTAGCAGTAATATTATAGATATTATATTTATTTTTAAGGATCAAAAATGCGATAACCATAATAAATTCTATGGATGAAAAAAAGTTTCCTATTTTAGTATCGCATATAAGTGATATGCTTGAAAACCAAAAGGAACTGTCACCAGAGGAAATAAACAAATTAGAATCATCTCTAAAACTCAATTCTTACGAAGTACAATTGTTAATTTCCACTGTGCAATATTTGCTTACTGAAAATGACAAATATGTCATTAAACCTTCAGTCCTGCATTCAAAAATGATGTCCATAGGAATAAACGAATCAAAAGTAGAACCCTTCATCAAGATATGGATGAAAAATAATAAAGAATTGTTAGAAGATTTATGTACCAATGATTTAAATAAACCAACGCGCTTAGAGGACTTTAAATGGCAATTAAGTTTACAAGTATGTTCAACAACAAAACAGAAACAGAAATTGCCTACAGCCATGATGCAATTTGTTTTATCGAAAGATGGCAGTGAAGATTTGTGCGAACTTGAAATGAATCATGAGCAGCTTTCAGCCTTTTATAATCAATTGGAAAATATACAACAGAAATTGGATGCCATAAACAGTTGAGCATGGTATAAATATATTATTGAATGATTTAATACAACTATGTTTTTTTAAAATAAATAATAGAACCTTTTGATTATACATTAATACTAATCTTTGGCATCTGCAATTCCACCAGTAGTTATTGCAAATGTTGCTTCACTTTCTGGTAAATCTGGGCTATCGTATATTTTGCATATACGTGTTTCACCACGTCCTTTTCGAAGAGATAGACGAGTTGTAGAGGCATGAGCCATTATGTTACCACCTGAAAAAAATTTATTTGAAAGCATTTAATATATAAAAGTTATTATTTGTTAATTATTTAATATGACAATTTTGTTAAAAATATTCTAGAGCTTTATCTTTTATTAGTATCTACCAAAATAAGGATTTAATTTTGTTTAAGTTACTGTGTAAATTTATAAATAAATAACATTGAGGATACAAAAAAAATACGAGATATATTTTTAATAGCTGACTTATATGTATATTCAAACATTTATGTTATCCAAATATAATCTATATAACTAAAAACTGAAAATCAATCTGATCACCAAACCTATTGGTTTCTTGGGATCCGCTTGGAATGATAATGTGGCACCAGGATCTGATGTCATTTGATTTGTAATAAAAACTGCCACATTATATTCTTCAGATATTTTTTGAAGCTTTGACATCAACTGAGCCAACTTTTGTTGCCTATCTGCCAATTCACCACGGCCACTAAAAATTACTTAATTATAAACAAAAGATCTATATCAAATCATATTTATTAACGTTAATAAATCAATAATTTATGCAGGTGTTAATTCATAGTTCATATACATAGTTCTTAAAGTGTTCAATGGAATACCTATAGTCAACTCGAAATAAAGCCATTGATGAGTCTATTATAAGTAATTTAAATACACCGGCCTCTTCATGAAATTTAGCTGCTACGTAGTCCAATAACTCATATTGATGTTCTGAAGTATATGCGCGGGCATAAAGTACATTGTCCAGTACAGCTACCTGGTCCAAATTAAATCGTTCAGCAATTGGCCTCAACCGGTCAGGTCTGCTGTAAGATGATGAAATTTTTAAATTAATATTGCTAGAGATCATAATATAATTGGTTTAAAATTTAGGCTTGCAAGAAATAGCATATTCGGCAAAGTGCCGAATACCGAATATTCGGCATGCTTCAGAGACCGAATACCGAATATTCGGCATGCTCCAGGGATCGAATACCGAATATTCGGCAACTAATTCGGCAGGTTTTCAGCGCCTAAACTTGTTCGTAATAATGTAATTACTATTCGTAGTTGTTATATTACTAACGTACTACATATACATTCAATTTTTATGCCTAGTGTTGCAACTACTATTCGGTTACTCTTTCTTATTTGGATAATTTGGCACCATTTTTACTCTTCGGCCGAATACCGAATACTTAAATAACATATGTAATAGGGAAATAAATCAAAAAACGATTTTTTTATATTTTCTTCATGAACATTTAATATTTTCTTTTATAAACACAATGTTGTTTTTAATATATTTGGAACGCTAATCTTAATAAAATAAATAAAAACTGACCAAAGATATTGTTCGTATTTTTTGCCATGATATCTATTTATTTAGAAATGCTTTGATTGAATATAATGAATGACTTTATTGAATATAGATACAACATATGCGTGTAACCCTTGAATGATTCTTATTAAATAAATATATAACAGTAACGCGTCCTTTGAATATTGATTACAGCTGTTCACGTGTTCGTTTATAATCTTAAAAGTAGATAAAGTTTAAACTATATACATATATACAAAATATAATAACGAATTTATTTTATCATATCATTATTATGTAAACTAAAACCTTCCAAACATTGTAAGTTACTATTCGGTATTCGGCCGAATATCAAAAAGGTGCCGAATATCGAATAGTAACCGAATATTCGGTGAAAACCTAGTTTAAATGCAATAATAAAAGCACAAAAACCTTGTGCTAGTTCTGACATATTGAAAATATACTGACAATGAGCAAATTCAGTATTGGATAAATTGAAAAATCTTTTATATCAATTTTAACTACTACTTACAATGTGTGTTCCGTGTCAATAAAAATAACTTTTCCGCCGTTATAATTATTTGCACCAGGCATTTGGGCAGTGACACACAGTGTGTGCGATAACTGTGTTTTGCCAGTTCGAAATTCTCCAAAAGCTTCTGTGATTGCCATTGATTCAATTCCGCCACCTAAAAGTTGCTTTTAAACAAATAATATGATTAAATTATTTATATAAAATATAATACTATAATATTATTATTATATAAGTACTTAATGTTTTTGTCAAATATTCTGTCAAGTTAAAAACTCGAGAGAATTTCTTAGCTGCAATTCTTCTACAAAGGTACAGTAAATTTATTATACGAAGTAAACTATAATTAAAGTTTTTTTAATTTTATTTTACACTTTTACTTTAAATATTTCCTTAAGAAAAGTTGCATATACGTATTAAAAATACTTGAAAATATTTAAGATGATCATTCAAAATGATTAAATTTGATTTGGAGTTATAGGGTTAGAGCGGGCCTTAAAGGTCCACAGGTAAACAGGTCTATCGACATCTAGAATTCAAGTAAAGTAAAAAAAAATTAACAACAAGATTGGCAAGAACTGGGAAAACGAGGTACAACTAGCCATCACCTTGATTCTCAAGACGTTTAGTTTGCGAGATTTTAGTATAATATTGAATTATTCGTAATTCAATTATTTTATAAGATATATTTATTTATATATTTTATAAGATATATTGTTATAATTTTAAGAAATATTCAACAGTTTTTTTATATAATCTTTAAACAGCTTACACGTGGGTAGGGTAACAATTGTTACCTTAAGAACCAAGAACCAACTGAACTTTTACCCTGGCAAAGGTGTAAACAATAAAAAATAGTAATTAGAAAAGTTAAAATGAAATTTTTGTCCTATTGATTTTGTCCTATGATTGAATAAATTGTTATTTCATCTCTGCTGATGAATTATTTCTGACGATTCTAGATCAAGGTTATATACAGTATTAACTCTGTAAATAAATGTACTCATAAAATTTATATTTTGCATTGGCCGAATAAAGTAGCTATTATTTCAATTGAAATCCCTTTAAAAATAAAAATAAGACATTTTTCCAGTAGACCGCGTCTATGGGGTAAAAAAACAGGTAACAAATTAAAAAAAAAACAGCATAAAACACATTTTTCGAATATTTGTAACCTGGTCCTTTTTACCCCATGGTTGGGGTAAATTGAAACGGCTAGAATTTTACAAAATAATAGCTACATTACAACCAAAGTTAAATATAAATTTTGTGTGTGCATTTTTACAGTGATAACATACTGTAAATAACTTTAATCTTGTATTTTGTCAGAAATACTCATCAGATTTCAAATAACAATATATTTTTTAACTTCCCGTAGGGTAAGTTATAGTAATGGGCCAAAAATCGAAAATGAAAGTTTTTGCATATCCTCACGTTTAGAGGTTTCTGAACATTTTGGCATGGCTCAGCAAAAATTGATATGTGTGTGTGAGTGTGTTTTGTGTGTCCACAATTTTCCGTCGACGTTTTCGGGCGCACGGATCAACCGATTTGAATGGTTTCGAAAAACATTCGATTCCCATTGATAGGGAGATGCGCTGATTAGTTTTTGGCAGATACAGGTCCATCCGTTACGGCGGAAGATACGGAGCAAAAGAGTGCAGAAAATATGAATAGAGCTTTTGAGAGAACGGAGTTCCCGATTAGAATGATTACAAAAAGCATTCAATTTGTAATAATTGAGAGAAGTGGTGATTAGCTTTTGATTTAAAAACAGGCCCAGCCATTTCGAAGATATAGAGTGAAATACAAAAAGCAGCAGTTTTGAGAGGACTAAGCATCCGATTTAATGGTTCATAAAAACTTTCTTCTTGCGTTGACAAAAAAATTGCTTTAAGAGATTTTTTTTTATTTATTACATTTTTTTAAAAAAAGCTCACTTATATACTTTAAATAAATAAATTTACCTTTGTAATTCAGTTTATATATTTCTTATAAATATTAGACAATGTTACAGTGTTTATAATAATATTTGAAAACATTATTTTATTTCTTGAACATTTCGTTACGCTGCGGAAAGTTCCAGCAATTTGCCTTAAGGCACGATGCCATACATTACTATAGCTTAATTTTTTTTTGTAAAATTGCTTATTAACTTAATTTTCTTTATTTGCTGTTTTTTATATTTTATAAACCTTTGCCCCAAGGTAAAGGATTAGTTGTGTCCTTTTTACCCCAGTCAAGTGTGAGCTTTTATAGAGGTAGTATAAAAAATCATTGAATATTACTTGAACTTAACAATACATCTTCTAAAATAATGCATACTTAAAAATAATATCGAGGTGTCGTAAACAAAACAACATTGCTCACAATCAAAATAGCTAATAGCAAAAAAAAGTGCGCGTTAATTTCCCGATTGCGACATCATAAGAATCAAGAAGGCTGAATATCATTGTTTTCATATACTGTTAAAAAAATTACTAACTTTACTGGTTTTTGAGATATCGTTGGTGGAGCTTTACCCGCGGACCTTTAAGCCCCGCTGAAACCCTACATAGCAGCACAAAATGAAATGATATGAAATGAAAATATGTCAGATTTAACTAAAATAAAAGACGTTAAGAAGTTCTATTAAAAAAGCTTTCAATAATTACTCTAGTTCTTGACTTCCAGTGCTCACGCGGAGGAATACCATTTTGCGCCTTTCGCTAACCTCCAAAGCCGTTCACAATCCAACGGTCGAAATTTTAACACAAGCTTCTTTTATCTTGTCCACTTTAGCTTCTGAAATCCTTTAATGGCCGTTAGTTTTTTCTTAGTCATCATCTGTATACCTTTATGGTACATATTCCTGACGATTTCAACTTTTTTATATCAGCTACGTTGATTCCATGCTGCTGCAATATATCAACGTCTTGAAAAAACAACTCGTCTTCCTCTAAATCAGAATTAGTTCGTTCTGAAGATTGTGCATTTTTATAACTTTATTATATTAACTTATTTAAATTAATCTTTACGAGTAAAAGAGTAAAAGCATTTCAAATTCACAACAATGAACCTGACGTTTAGAGATCCACCCATGATTGCCAACTAAAAATAATAAAAAAATATGGTTAATTTGAATAGATCATTTTTCTCAAATTTTATTTTGTCATTATGATTTATTTTATTTTCATTGGCCTTTATTTCAATTTTAGTAGTTAATATTAACTATATTGTTATATAGAATTCTATAATATTTATAGTCCTAGACAATTATGAATAAAATATTTCATATATATTATATATAAAAGCAGATATAATTATTATTTTCTGAATATATATTTACAATTCAATATTTATCAAAATATCAAACATGAAGTCATCATGAAGTTTTTAAGATCT